GGGGGGGTGGTCATGAGGGAGTGTTACAGCGTGCGTGATTGGGCGTTGTGCTCGACAAAATTTGTTTATTAAAAAATATCATTTTCCACTAAATCATCCTATTTCTTCCCAATTAAGGTAGGCGGTTAGAGAGAGAGAGAGATTCTTAGAGAGAGCCAGTTTTGAGTAACTTCAATCCATTTTGCAGCTAACGACCCAATTTAGTTTAGTAAGTAATTATTATTAACTTTTTTAAAACTCAATTGAATGCTTAATAAATGATTATTTGAAAATTTAGATCGGTAAGTGCGGTTTATTAAGTTGTGTTAGCTCATAGTTTTTTTGTATTTTGTTTCAAGGTCTGAGAAAGGGAAATAGCCCGTTGAGTAGTTGAGTCAAGATCAAATCTCTCCGAGTCTGTATAAGTATTTGCTATTCTAATTTTCACACAATCATGGCTAGTTATTTAAATTGCTCTATTCTATAGCTCAGTCTTTAGTCATACACTATAATGTGATTGTTATATATATATTTTGATGATAAATGGAAAAAAAAAATTGTGGTTGAGTTATTTTTTGTTTTAAAAGCGGTATGTTGTCACTTTTAAAATCAATTGAAAAAGGAAAAAATTCTTGTAAAAAAGTTTCCCAAAACATCGATATTGGATTTGACCTATGCAATACAACACAATAAGACATGTTTCATCTTTGGGTCTTATCAGATTGGGTTGCGAAAATTAAAATTCCAAAAGAATGGCTAGATCTATGTGATTATGATTATATATGTTAGTAGCACTAAAAACGACGTTGTTAGTAAAGCTGTTAGTAAAGCTGCTGCGAGCTTTTAAAATAATATGAGAAGTTTCTATAATTTCACATAAATTTAATTTATTATTTTCTAAATTGATTAAATGAATTATTCTTCTTGATTAATAAACCTTCTTTTTTAGATTAATACCAAGACTTTGAAAATTTGTACATAGGATGTTAGTGTACCGACAAAGTTTGAAAAAACAGAAAAAAAAAAAAAAAAACATCCACTAAGCGTTATGTTCTCCAATATTTAGACAGCTGTTTTTGCTTTCTTTCTTTTCAAAATTTCTCCCATCAAAGCACTCTTTAAAAAAAAAAAAAAAAAATAGACTTGTTGCGTCCTGGAGTATTCGCGACGGTAGAGAAATATTTAGTTTAACGTCTTAGCATTGTACGAAGATCTAGCACACAAACAGATAAGTGAGAGGGTGTAACATTCATAAGAGACACCAAAGTTTTTACGTGGAAAACTCCTAAAAAGGGGAAAAAACCACGGGGCCTGGCCCAGTTTGAATGAATCCACTAGTATTTGCAGTCGATTACAAATGAGGCCCTTCCTTAGGAGAAGGCCTTGGATTGATGTAGCAAATATACATCATATAGATTGCATTACATGGTATGAGTTGCATATACATGTTTGTTTGGCCTGAAGGACCGTAGTCGGCAGGAGACCGTAGTCGACAGGAAACCGGATTCAGAAAGACTGTTGTTTGTTGATGGAGGTCAGAAGGACCATATTAGGCGACGAAGGCCTGAAGGACCGTAGTCGATGGAATACTGGGGTCTGAAAGACCGTTGTCTAGTTATGTTGGTCGGACGGACCGCAGTAGGCGACAGAGGTCAGAAGGACTGTAGGTGGTAGGAGACAAGGAGTCAGGTGTTAGACCCAGTGTCACTTGGAAGATCGGGTGTTGATGGTCTGGCCTTGGGTAGGTCGTCGGGTCTGAACGTCGGGCCTTAAGAAGGACGTTGGGATTAAACATCGGGCCTTAAGCGGG